TCGTGCACTCTTAATCACAGCCATGTGTTCTCATCGGATCGTCAAAAAGAAGCGTAGTTCTCTCACCATGACTGTGACCATGATAAGCAACAAGTCACGTTAGTATTCCCACGTTGTCGATGTACTCGTCCAGTGTCACCCTGCCCACGCAGGGCTAGTTTGGGCATCTATACGTCTTCTACTGCAAGCGTTACTAAGTGACGCTGCATAACAAGACCATTATTATTGTTTCAGGTGGCAGATTGGGAAGAGCGGGTCTCGAATAGCCGGGGATAGTATACTGGAGTTCATCCGCCATGCAGCCCGCTGGAAAGAGCTGCAGACCCAGGGTAACATATTGTTATTCAGGAGAAAGAAATGTTGAATCGTGTCTTACAAACCACGCAGCTACTTACAAAGGTGCGTATCCCCTCGCGCCACCGGGTTGTCGCTTGCATATTTGATCGACTTATCAGGTCTCAGTTCAGTTGGCGACATCACAACGGACGTCCACGTCGTCCTCATTCACATGGACAAACCCGACGGAATCCCGGAGCAAATCCAACATTTTTTGGGTAGATCAAAAGAGAGAAATGACCCTTAGGTACGTGTGAGGGTAGACTCGCATAAATGTCTAACCCTGGCCTACTCATGGATATATTACATATTGAAGTTTGCAACTGGAGACTGAGCTGTGGGTTTTGACGCACGAGAATGCTAAATCGGTTAAAGCTGTCCCTAAGCTTTCTTACATCTGCAATTCTCCCTGTGGTATCCTGCTTCGTGATTCTTCTTCGCTAACTCGGTATAAACTAGGCACATTGGGCCTGACTAGGATCAAGCAACGGCTTGTTCTGAGTTTCGTGGAAAAATCACAAGGCCTCACGCGGATGGCACTTGCTATTGGCTCTTGAGACGCGCCTTTTTTTTTTTTTTTTTGAAGTGGACGCACTCAGAGGAAATGCCGGTCCTTCAGGTCCAGGGGCTTCAAGGTTGCGGAAAATCGGTCATGGCTGGGTATCTCCAGGACCACCTGGCAGACGGGGGCTCCAATGTATTGTTTTACCGGTTCCAGCACACTGCCTCGACTACCCAGTCCACTCCGACAAGATTTGGGAGTTCTCTTATTTCCCAACCGCTGGTGAAGTCGACCGGGCCATCCCCAGGGACTGGTGCCTATCACCAGCTTCAAAATCTCACGACACAATATCCACTTCGTCCCCAGTCTTACGCCTTCAAGATAGGATTGGCGGTTGCGGCCGCAATGCGAAAGATGTGCGGATCTCGATACGGCCTCATTATCGATGCATTGTATGAGTGCTTGATCGACGGAGGTGAACATAGCCGATGCATTCTCACTGCTGTCTGAAAGGGCGGAAGTCCTCATCTCTGGTCTGTGCAAGCTGTTGGCTAGCCCCTTCGGCGGCCTCTTCCACTTCTCACATCCATATGTTATGATATTCTTCGAGCTCTACCTCCAGGCGGATGAGAGCTCGCTTTGAATCTCGTTCTTGGACTCCCATGTCATGCTCGCAGAGAACTGTCGGTCATGCCTTTGGGAGAGAGACACGCAGATTTGCATCACATTGGACACTACCTGATGGCCAACTACGATGAAAATGTCCACGTGGATACCGATACACAGCCTTGCGAGGACAACTTCTACGATTATGTCTTCAAAAGTTCAGATTCTGGGATTACCACTTGGTCCGGACCAAGGCACCGAGCACGAATCTACTCCAGCAGGCTAAAAGCTTCATCCATGGCTTGCTGTTCACATATTGGTCTGAACGCTCTCGGCAAGACTGGACAGAAGGTTCGGTACCAAGGGCTCTAGAACGAAGACCAGGCGCCCCTGGAGTTGGACGAATATTTTGACCAAGCCCAATCCTCCTCGGTGGCGCATTTGATGCCAGTAAAATGGTTAAGGTACTTTCGAGGTTGGCCCGTATGGCCATGGCCGACTTCTACTTCATCAGATTCCGTCCTGGGAATGCAACATCGACGCGCCGACAAGTTTTGGCAGGACTTCAAGGCTTCCTGGGGACGCGGCATTACTTCACGCTTGGTGCCAAGTCAGGCATGGCATACGTCTACCTAGCTTCGTCGGGAGATTGACCTGGGGCAACTTGACTGGCGCAGGCCAAGCAACTTCTGACTGTGGATGGGAGGTACCGAGGGCACGTTCTGTAAAGACCTCTTGCAGATTACTGACTCGGCTCTTGAAAGAGCAGACTAGGTACTTCGTATGGTGAGGAGAGGTACCTAAATATGCGCATAAACGGAAGCGGTCCAGTACTGGGTGCTCTGCGACTAGGGCAACGACCGGCTTATAGAAACCTCAGGGAAATGCCGAAGTGCCATCACGTGTTCGGCTAACCTTCCCCTGGATTAGGGCAACGGCACACACCTCGGGCTCGACGGCACCACAACACTTAGAGCAGTTGTCACTGCTGTTCTACAAATTCCCGTAGTGTAGCAGGCGCCCGTTATTTGTTTCGGGAAATGTTGAAAGGTAAGACAAGCCAAGGTTTGGGCTGGTGAGGCTCGTCGACTGGTGCTAAAAGCTTGTTTGTGTCAAGCAATGACGCAGACTATGACGAAGTACGATCGACGCTGCGATCGACGCCCCGCAAACTGCTGGTTTCTGGCCTCTGGTGTTGGTACAAGTGGCACCACATGTGGCGGATAATGGGGATGTACCAAGAACAGGGACCGAACAGGGGCAAAGGCCAATGGTATCCAGAGCCACAGTGGCACTGGCACTGATGGATGAAACAACTACAAGGAACGGCCCTGGACGGGGACAGGCTGGACAAGGTATTATGCAACCCTCTTGAAACACGGCAAACCACAACTTCGGCTCAGCCTGCTCAGCTATTGTCGTGAATGGCGGCTTCGCAGACACCACAAAGAAGGAACTGGGCCTGCCAGATGTCGAGCGTCGAGACTCGAGCCGTCGCTGCTGCCATGTTACCGCACATACCCATGGACTTCCCAGTTTGTCTCGTTAACCAAGCGATGCAACTGGCAAACGCGTCATCCTTGACAGAGGTCGCCACTACAAGTACCTCAACTCCTCTCTCTCCCCTCGACACTTCTCACCAACCGACTACCCCAACCCCAACTGCCCAACATGGCTTCTCTCGTCCGCGTCCCCATTCGACGCAACCCTCACTACAGACGCAACGGTCTCAAGTCCTACGTCTACATGCTCAACAAGTACCGCATTTCTCCAACCATCAAGGGCCCGTACTCCGCTGTCAAAGGCAAGAAACTTCTTGTCAAGCAGAACGCAGACGGGTCTCCGGGAGAAGTGTACGTGTGGCGTCGGGCATAATAATGCCCATGTGCTAACTAGGTTGGCAGCTCTGCCACTGATCAACAAAATGACTCCCTCTATACCTGTCCGGTCAAGATCGGCACACCAGCTCAGACGCTGAACTTGGTGAGTGCCTCTAGAAGTATCCCAAGTCTCACTAACCGGTGCCCAGGACTTCGACTCGGGATCTTCCGACCTCTGGTGCTGGTCAACCGAACTGCCACAGAGCACTCTCTCTGCAGGCAAGGGTCATACCATCTTCGACCCTTCCAAGTCAACGACATTCAAGACCACCCAGGGCTCCACCTGGCGGATTCAATATGGTGATCAATCATCCGCATCCGGGAACGTGGGGACAGACAACATCGAGATTGGCAACATCACGGTTAAGAACCAAGCCATTGAGCTCGCCACCAAATTATCGTCTCAGTTTACTCAAGATGCTACGTCCGATGGCCTCCTGGGTCTTGCTTTCGGTTCGATCAACACGGTGCAGCCCAAGCCCGTCCAGACACCGGTTGCCAACATGATTGCTCAAGACGACATCCCTCAGAATGCCGAGTTGTTCACCTGCTATCTTGGTTCCATCAAAGACACAAACGAAGAGTCATTCTGTAATTGCTGACCATTGTCCTGGTTTGGTCCACCGCTGACATGGATATAGACACCTTTGGCCAAATTGATCAGTCAGTCATCCCTTCCGGTGCTAGCATTGCCTACACCCCTGTCGACAACTCTCAGGGTTTCTGGATGTTTGACTCGACCTCGGCCCAAGTGAACGGCAAGACCATTCAACTCTCAGGGAACAAAGCGATTGCTGACACCGGCACCACCCTGCTTCTCACATCCGATGAGGTTTGTCAAGAAGTCTACAGTGCCATTCCTGGCGCACAACAAGACAGCAGCCAGCAGGGCTGGGTGTTTCCTGCAAACACCGCCGAAAATGACCTTCCCTCTGTCACGTTTATGGTTGGCAATGCTTCAATTACCATTGAGAAGCAGCACCTCGCTTTTGCTGGTGGCGCTGATGGCGGCATGGTGTATGGGGGCATTCAGTCTCGTGGCGACTTGAACTTCGACATATTTGGAGATACCTTCTTGCAGAATGTCTATGCGTGAGTCAAAGCTCTTGCTCACTCGAGTCAAGCTAACGTTTGATAGTGTCTTCGATGTCGGGAACACGAGACTCGGTGTGGTACAGCGTGCTGTTCCAAGTTCTAGCCAGGCATCTAATCAAGCCCCAACCTCTAACCCGGCCAAGGCTGAATTGTGAGCAGTTGTCCTCATCGTCCCTTGCCTAACAGTGGTAGTCGCCATCAGATGGAAATGTCCATTGATGGTAAGACTTGGGGAACAAATTGTAGACAGTATTGTCTAGTGCGTTTTCGGTGTCATGTGAGCCTAATGATAGATTCTATGAATCCAGTTTTCCTGTTTTCCACACTGGTCATTTTTCCCCAAAGGAGACGGAGTCGTTTAGAGCAGCACCAACTGCTGCCTCTTCATACATAACCCAATTCTCGCCCCTAGCACGAGCGAAGGTGTTAAAAAGAGAAAGAGGGTTTGACGTCTAGTGAATCCTATAACAATATCCACGAAGATCATGCTGAAAGGTTTCGTGCTGTCGACACCCTAGTTGTGCCGGCGAGCCCAGCCTTCCGCGAATTGACGCGCAAATTGACATCTTCCGGACCATGGTTCAATCTTTTCCGTCAAACACCTGTCGTCCCTGAAACCAGGTCTGCTTCACTCTCGCCTTCAACAAGCCAGCAGACGTCCAGTCCGTGTCGAGGACCACAAAGTCTGCGCTCGCGCCTTTCTTTAGACTGCCCGTCCAGCGCTCCGCGTGGCGTGAATACGCCGTCCCAGCCGTTGCCGCCTTCGCGGCCGCCGCCAGAGACACTGCGAACTGTGGATTCGTCCGCTCAGACGACTCGGGCTCAATGGCAGAGCGCCTCGTTGTCGCGTTGTATAGGTTTGGGAGCGGAAGGTGGGCTGCGGTAGGGGCATCAGTCCTGAACGCCAACGGGGCGCCGCTTTCGAGGAATTCTGCGTATGGAAACGCGCGTTGACAGCGGTGCGCGCCCAGCAGTGAGGGCCAGGCCTTGAAAAGGGCTGGGTACGAGTGGACGGGCTGCACGGAGGCCACGATCCCCAGCTTTCCCAGCCTTTTTACGTCGCTTTCGGAGGCAAGTTCCAGGTGCTCGATGCGGTGACGGCGCGAGAAGGGCATTGATAGGCTTGCAAAGGCGTCGATTGTCTGAGTGATGGCCTTATCTCCAATGGCGTGTACGGCGCACTGAAGGCCCGCGGCGTCGGCCTGGTGGATGATTTTTGCCATCTTCTCCGCAGGCCAGATGGGTTCAATGGGATCTGGCTTTGTGCCGTATGGTTGGCTCAGGGCCGCCGTACAGCTGTCGACGACCCCGTCACCGATCAAAATTTGATCCCGACAACGCAGAAAGACGGCGAGGCTGACGGATGGAAGGTGTGATGCATCTCAATGGCCTTGTCAAGCGTGGTCTGGATCTCCTGGTCAGACTCGCTGTACGGGACGAGCCAGTGAGCAGCGACATGGAGAGGTAGCCCTTTGCGAGAGCGGTATGTCTCCAGGGTGTCCTACTCGTCTTCGTCCATGGCCATGTCGATGGCACCGGTGTATCCCGCCTGCGTGTAAGCAGATACTGCGTGGTGGAGTGCAGTTTGCTTCTGCTCCACCGTCAGGGTTTTTGTTAGGTACGGCCACACAATCAAAGGAAGAGACCCTTCGTCCAGGAGACCCGATGGCCTCCCGTTGCCGTCCCGATGGATGGTCCCTCCCGGCGGATCTTCCATGGACGCAACACCCAGCTCATCCAATGCCGCGGTGCTGCACCATATCGAATGCAGATCCAAGGCTTCGACGTAGATCGGCCGCGGATCAAGTTCGTCCAGCATGCTCGCCAGAGCCTGTCCGGCGGTCGAGGCCTGGATCCAGCCCTTGCACAGGACCCGCGGCTCTGACGGTGCGAGCGTGCAAACGACCGAATCTTGTTCTGGATCTGCTCGAGGGTCTTGCACGACATGACATCGAGCTTGCCGAGCGACAGCCCGAAATGCAACATGTGGACGTGGCCGTCGATGAAGCCGGGGGTCACGATGCGGTTGTCGACGTCAATCTCTGTGACACCACTACCAGAAGCAGGCATGATGGCCTGACGGTGGCTCTCCAAACCCTCCTCTGGGCCCACATATTGGATCAAGCCATCATCCTGAAAAACCAAACACCCGGCGACAAGGTCGTCTGCGTCGTCTGCGCTCGTGAAGATACGCGCATTTCTGACGATGGTGGGAGACATTTCGGATCTATCGACCGTAGAGTATTCGCAAATTAGTGGCGTAGTGCAAAGGCCAGATGGATAGGTAGTTAGATAGATCTAATATGTAGTGTCCAGCTAGTTAGCCGGTCACTCTTGCCGGAAGCAAATATTAATATAGACGTCTCCCTCTTTTTTGCCATCTTACCTGTCTCTCCACTTACTCATGGTGTTGCCACCCCAAACACGCTCTGCGGTGCCGCAATCGGCATCGCTATAATTACTGGGCCGATGACTGTACATATGTATGTTAGGATAAACGCCCCTCGCAGGACCAACGGGGGAAAACATATCACTTCGGCCCTTTTGCTAGGTAATGTATGCGGCGACAGGGTGGGACCAAGGTCGGGTGAGATGGACGAATGTGTGTACGGACGGCGGAGAAAGGCGCACCACCTGAACAGCCTCTCAGATCTTTCTCTGAGGCTAACACAAGTCCGTGTGTCCTTCATACCCTAGGTATATGGGCAGTGTGGCGTACCTAGCTTAAGCTTTGTAGGCTTTGGACGCGCAAAGTGACGCCGTTGGTCCAAGGGCGTCCCACTCGCCGCCACGAGGAGCTAGTGAGCGAGCCTAGCTACCCACCCAGGTCCATATGTGTACTATTTAAGTAGCAGCACTGAATTGGCTCGACTTGCATCTTTGTTGCACGTTCACTACCGAGAGGATCGCGGGACAAGCCGCATTGAACCTCGCAAGACCGCTCTACCAGGGTGCCTACCGCGTGGGTGCCTGGCTAATGCTCTCTCTTTCTCTCTCCAAGGCGAGAACTCGTACTTGCGTCGCGTAGGGGGGGAGGGGTAGACTTTGTCAATACAGAAAAAGAAAAGGGAAGGGGGAAAGGAAAGGGCAAATCTGTCCACCGGAGTCCAAATGACCATTACATGGCGTAGTCAGACGGCCAGTCAGACGAGACAGTCTTGACAGGAAACATGCTTGCCACGAGGCACCGTGAAGTATACAGGTTGTCATCAAATCCGACCCAACGGAGAACAGTCCAAGGTTACGCTTTTTCCAAGGGATGGCCTGCATAGAGACGATAGTTGCCTGCCGAGCAAGTCCGGAACCGTTTGCCAAACGCGATGGAGATGATGTCCCCAAACAGGATGATGATAAATATTACGGTGGCCCTGATGAAGACGTTTGCGAGTTCCACTGCTGTGATCCAAGGCGTCAATGCAAAGACTAGGGCGGTAGGGAACAGGTTTTTCACGAATGTGACGGCCACGAGCGCGTCGGAGATGATCTGCATGGGACGTGCGTGCACTGTCAGTAACTTGCCACACTTGTCGGGTTTGACTATAGAATTCGAACTGGATTTTCAACACTTACTTCGGTGTATGCGTCAGTCAGATAGGCCAGAGAGAGACTCGTCGCCGGCGTCGACCCGAACGAGGCCACACCCAAGCCAACAGCGATGAAAGGCCACGGTAAACCCCTTTCGAGCCCGATCCCAAACATCAACAGACCCGCGGCCACAAATGGTGCAAAAGTCAAAATGAGCCACAGCCGCATCTCGGGCTCGTAGATCCCACCATTGCTCCGCGCCATGCGCAGAATCACCCAGTCGTTAAGAGGACCACAGATGACAGCAGCGGCCAGCGCGCCAATGAACTCCGGCAAGCTCAAGAGACCGATCTCCTGAGCCATTAAATTGTACGGTGCCATAGTCATGTATATGGAACACACCGTGATGGGCATGATTGCCGCAGCCGTCATGGCTCCATTGAGGATCGACATGTACAGCACCGCGGGGATGTGCCAGAGAATGAAAAATGGCTGGTAGCTGTGTCTGACCAAGGATCGAATAGACTTGGGTGAGGAGGACCAGAGAGCCAGCTTCTTCCAGTAGGGTTTGACCGGGATTATCGGATCGATCCTGACTCCGACGAGGGGGACCTCTGGACGCGGAACGACACTTACAATGGCATCATTTGCAGGTGATTGTTTCTCCTCCAAGTCACTGTCCACCTGCCTGGCGAGGTCACGCTGTGAAGGGCGACTGGGACTAGGGAAGCCGTTAACGGTCTGACACTCATATTTTGTCTCCTCGTACAGAAAGAACATGAGCACAAACACTCCGATCAAAATGGCAGTCCACCACCAGACTCAACGCCATCCCTGAGAAATAGTGACATATCGGGCGACCAAGGGTGCTAGAGAAGATCGATGGTCAGAGTCCAGATGTAGATGCTGTTCATCAAGCCACGTTGATGGACAAAGAAGACATCTGCGACAGTCATCTGAATCATGACTTCACCGAGGGCGCCGACGAAGCGTCCGAGGATATTGACCAGCATGAGATCCGCGACATTTTGTACTCGGGCCGACCAGATCGCTATTCCGCATTGGACGGCCATACTGAATATGTAGACAGGGCCCCTGCCGTATTTCAGGGGGCGAATGGTAGAAGGAAGACACCCCCGATGCAGAGAGATCCACAGCCAGCGGCATAGCTGTCGTTGAGGACATCATAGCTGAAACCTAGCTCCAGGTTCATCGACCCCCAAGTGGCCGTCACCGTGGTTATCCTGCCCGGGAGATGTGTGGGGCATGGTTCATGTTGCCGTTGTGCGTGGGATACGTACATTGCGAAAAACCAGGAGTACGTAAAACTGCACGAGGATAAAGTTGGGATACTTTCTCCATGCTGGCCAGTTTCAGTATTAAACGCAATCTTAGCCCCTGAGCGACAGGCACTGGAGAGTAACCTTCCAGGGGATCATTTGGGTTGGTGGTGGGCTGAGGTTGCAGGACAATCTCTGCATTTTTGCCATGAAGACCTGTCACAGGCACATAGTGAGCAAAATACAAGTCTATATCATGCAACAACAGGTAGAACGCGATGTATGCCCCTTACTTCAATGCGAAATGTGCCCGGAGGCCAGAACATATCAATAGAAGAGCGGCGGATCAACGACATGGTGTCGAACGAAGAGTGGCAGTGTCGGCAGTGGTGGAGAGTCCAAGCCTCTCATCGAAGATGCTCTAGCATTCTTATACCTGCCACGAATCCATTATAGCCCTCGATCTCGTGCATGGCCTGCAGAAGTCTAGCTTGCCACCCGTGATAAGAGTTTGGGGAAGATGGAGCAAAATCGCGGAACGTGTTGCAAGTGGTCGGATTGCCGTTGTCTCGCGGGCTAAGACCATGTTGGAAAGGATAGCCAGGACAGTCTAATGAGCCCGCTGGAATAGTGGAGGCGGGCATCCTCCGCATTAACCCTCTCTGCCCTGTCTCAGGTTCTGAGGATTGTAAGAAAGCACTTCCTCCAACATCATAGGGACCGGCTTGACCATGACTGAGCCGGCGCAGGTGGTCAAGAACTCTCGAAAGCCGCGGCGGAGGCCAGCCCATCTTCGCACCAAAACTGGCTGTCTGAACTGTGAGTTTGATCCGTGTCGTGCTCCCTGCCACCTGTGGAAGATTGATAAATGACTGGCTGATTGCCGACAAAGGCCGCCGACGGAAGAAAAAGTGTGATGAACATCTGGTCGTCTGCCGCAACTGCGTCAAAAGAAATGTGGATTGCATTTGGCCGCTGAACCCCAATTCAAAGTCGAAAGATTCCGGCCCAAGTCTGAGTCTGGTTGAAAATGGTGCGTCCCCGACACTCAGCCTTGTTGTCGAACCGTGTAGCCGTGATACATGCTATGGCATCGAAGACGGCGAGGGGTGGGGATTTGCAGACCTGTCAACACCCTCAGCTCCTTTCTCGCCGACATCTGATGACCACGGCGTGGACGATGAAGAAGATGAGCTCTCTCTCGTACTCGTTCCTCAACTTACCTCCGTCGCCTCACGCACAAAGATTCACAGTCCTCTTCTGTTCGACTTCATGCGAACAGTATTTGTCCCACAGCTTGTTCGACCCGCGACCGATAGCCAATACATCAAAGATTTTACAAGTGGAAGTCTCCAGCTCGCGTACAACACTCCATTTTTCATGGAGGCTCTCCTGACGTGCTCTGCGAACTGTTCTTATGCTCTGCATCTATGAGGTGAGTACCTATTCAACACAATGACTTTCCCGAGGTGCCTAAGCTCCCTGATAGAGAACTCGACTCTACCGCTCTGAAGGTGTCTCTATCCATCTATATGGTGCGGCCGCGCTGCTCAAGTCGTGCTGGAAGCGGATGGAAGCATCAAAGAGCACACCAGCTACGTGGACTGCCACACGCATTCTCACCCTAGAATCCTTCATTTTCCATGTGGCTACGAGCATCCCCTTTCAGGATCCTGCTCCGACATCTGCTCTCGTCGACGAGGTCTTTGTAAAAGCGCAGCTTGTACTGGAGCGGCTATGGCTGGAAAGAACATTGAACTATCCCTATTCGCCGGTTCTTGGAGTACCCCCAATGCTATTCTTGTACGTACGACAAGTGGCTTTGGTATATTCCCAGTTTCGATCCCGGAGATTCGATGTGCGGCAATGCCATCGTCTGGAACAGGACTTGAGGTGGTGGAGCCACGACAATATTGCCGACTCATACATCGTCAACATTATCAGTTCCACCGATTCTGCCAACGAAGATCCCTCGTTGTCTTTGCTCTCTGACCTTCAAAATTCCACCCAGTCTTTCTTCGGACCAAAGCTCTATATCCTTGCTGCAAAGATTCTGTTGAGGCGGATGGTAGCACATTCGTCCGAAATGGGAGGTCAATGTCTTTCAACATCCCTTTCAACCTTGCTCTCCCAAGAGATGGCCCTTGTCCGCTCCATCGAACCTTCAGTAGACTATTTCGCAGAATACTACTGCTGGCCATTCTATTGCTTGGGGGTGTCTATCGATGACCCACAGGCTCGAGAAATGTTAGTGAATAAGATCATGGCATTCTGGAAGGCGAAGAGGAATGGAACGATGAAACGGTTGGCAGATATCTTGACAGATCACTGGAAACATTCAGCCCCATGAGACCAGCAACCGAAGCTCGACTGACAGTCGATGGATTTGAGCGACTATACGACGACATTACAGACTGGCGCCATCCGATCCTGCTCGGGTAACCATTCGCCACATCTCAGTCTGAGAGTCAGCGCTCCAACGATTACAATGCCAACGCTAGGTGCCACAGGTTTTGACAGCATTTTGCGTGCTGCCGGACGATTTAGCCTCCACCATCCAACACACATAGAACGGTGGGGCAAAAAGAGGCAATTCCATCCACAGGCCACGAAGCGTTTCTCGGCATATTGGCATCAACGCTTGGAACATGCTTGCTGGAACGAACCCCGCAATGCGTTTCTTGGGTGCTTCTGCCACTCCGTCTTGGACCGGAATGCCAAGGGGCCTCCGGTTGTCTGGGCAATCAATAACACCAGGCGGAGCATTCCTCTGCCACAAGACAGAAGATACCAGCTGACCGGCGTCATCCTCTTTACGCACCATTCCAACGTCGAGAACGGTCCTCGGAAGAGCCGACGTCCATCTCAGACGAATCTAGATCCTGCAAGAACAGATTGCTTGTCCAAGAAGGGCATTCTGCTTCATGGCTCGGCGTGCGGAATGCTGGAGCAAGCTGTGGGGGTCCCGGTCTTGTCATGGTCTTGGAAAAACATCCCAAGGCCGAGTCCAAGACTCGACCGCTCAACGACAAGCCTGACTCCGCGACGTCAAGTCCCAGTTCAAGACTCATGCCACGCCCGCAATGTTGCAGTGGCCATTTCCAAGGTTGCAATCTATGATGCAATCTGCTACTCAACGGCTCCCGCTATCCTCTTGGGTTTCAGTCCGATCAATGGACATGAAACTCCTCCACCCTTCACATATCGCGAGTGCTATCGTGCGCGAAGGAGGTCAATCAAAGCGAGGCTAGACCGGGCCTTTCAATTGGCAATTGATCCTCTTTATGGATCTCCGCGAATCCGCGATGTGTCACCCATGGGTGCCCGTGGGCGAAATCTTTTGAGATCGTTGTTTTGATGCTCCGCGCCAGGAATGTATATAAGTCATATGGACTGCCCCCGCTCCCCAGCAAGGTTTATTGCGACACCTGTTTGTTCGGATATTTACAGTGTCTCCTTCCTGCGGTCATCTAACTGAGCAACCATCGACCATGTCCGATTCCAAAGGACTCCAAGAGGAAGCTGAACACCCTCGTTCCGTCTCTCTGAAAACCACCGACGATGTCAACCGTATTGAGGCGCCTGTAACATGGAAAGCGTACTTGATGTGCGCTTTTGCTTCGTAAGTCTTCTCGAGGCCGCTACAGGTGGTGGTGACACTCCCGAGCCCTGCCTTTCTCGATGTAAAGTTCGACAACACTAACGGCAAGCCAGATTCGGCGGCATCTTCTTCGGTTATGACTCAGGTTACATCAATGGAGTACTCGGAGCAGACATCTTCATCCGGGCAGTCGAAGGCCCAACTGCAGATGCTCTTAGCTCCTCGCACCAATCGCTCATTGTGTCAATCCTGTCCGCTGGCACCTTTTTCGGAGCTCTTATCGGCGGCGACATGGCAGATTTCATCGGTCGCAAGTGGACCGTCATCATGGGTTGTATGATTTACATGTTTGGTGTCGTTATCCAGATGATTACCGGAGAGGGCGATGCCCTGGCTGCGATAGTGGCCGGCCGCCTCATTGCCGGTATTGGGGTCGGTTTCGAAAGTGCTATTGTGATCCTTTACATGAGTGAGATTGTAAGTATATATATGCCGCCCCTGCCTTGCCTTACAGACGATCATTAACCCTTCCAAAACAGTGCCCCAGAAAAGTCCGCGGAGCCCTCGTTGCCGGCTACCAATTCTGTATTACCATTGGTATCATGCTTGCTTCCATCGTCGTGTACGCAACCGAGGATCGGCAGGATACGGGCTCTTACCGAATCCCCATTGCCATCCAGTTCGCGTGGGCCCTTATTTTGGCCGGTGGCCTGTTCACCCTGCCCGACTCACCACGCTATTTCGTCAAAAAGGGCCGCCTCGAGGATGCCGCCATCTCACTGTCGAAACTCCGCGGCCAGCCCCGCGACTCCGACTATGTTCAGATCGAGCTAGCTGAGATCGTTGCCAATGAGGAATACGAGCGTGCCATCATCCCCTCTAGCGGCTGGTTCTCCAGCTGGGCGAATTGCTTCAAGGGGGGCTTGTGGGTGCAGAAATCTAACCTGCGCAGAACCATCTTGGGCACGTCTCTGCAAATGATGCAACAATGGTATGGCCCTGCCCATGGAAGAAATGTTCTAGGTCCATGTCGAGGATGCTGACTAGTCGCCGCTAGGACTGGTGTCAATTTCATCTTCTACTATTCGACCCCTTTCCTACAGAGCACCGGGGCCATCGACAACACCTTCCTCATCTCACTCATCTTCACCTTGGTCAATGTATGCAGTACACCACTTTCGTTCTATACGGTTGAGAAGTTTGGCCGTCGTCCGCTCTTGATCTGGGGCGCTCTGGGCATGTTGATCTGCCAGTTCCTCGTCGCCATCATCGGCGTGACAGTCGGGTTTAACCACACCCACCCGGACCCAACCGATCCGGACCTCAGCCTGGCGGATAACGTCCCGGCGGTCAACGCCCAGATCGCGTTCATCGCCATATTTATCTTCTTCTTCGCGTCCACTTGGGGTCCCGGGGCGTGGATAGTGATAGGGGAGATTTTCCCGTTGCCGATTCGCTCCCGGGGCGTTGCGCTGTCGACGGCGTCGAATTGGCTCTGGAACACGGTGAGTTTTGTCTTGGCCTAGAACCAAAAGCGTTTTACAGAAAACAGCAGAGCAGGTAGCTGACAAGGTATATGAAAACAGATTATTGCCGTCATCACGCCCTACATGGTCGGCGAAGACCACGGCGACCTCAAATCCTCAGTCTTCTTCGTCTGGGGCGGCCTCTGCACGTCGGCATTCGTCTACGCGTACTTCTTGGTGCCTGAGACGAAGGGCCTCACTCTGGAACAAGTCGACAAGATGATGGAAGAGTCCACGCCGCGCACCTCGAGCAAATGGAGGCCAACCTCTACCTTTGCGCATAGCCGGGCCCGAGATGGCGTGTTGGAGAAGGAGGTGATGGACGACGTCGCGCGACGAGGCTCTGCGTTCTGAGCCTGAGAAGGTGTTTTTATTTGCACTGGTTCGCGATATTACAGTGAGTCTGCGTGTAGTCTTGTGGAAAGGGGGCAAATCTGTGCTGCAAAGCCCTGTTGCAAAGTGTAAGTTGAGGTTAGCAGTCGTCGTCACAACGAATGGGGGGTCTGTGTCGCAGCCGCGTGCCAGATAACTCCTAGTCCTTAGCTGAAATTTCAGTGCCAATCCCCATTGAACTCTTTTCTAAATCCAAGATCAAATATTTGTTTGGTCTTCTTCACCTGTGCTTCGGTGATAGAAGGGTTCTCGCCAGACCTGGTGGGCTTACTCCGATCGCATCCAACCCTCACCAACATGCGGAAATACATCTTGGGATCATCTTAGCCTGGATCGCCTGGCTACTGGCTAGATTTTAAGTGATCTGGACCTCGCAGGGTGGCCGTTTCTAGAGGCCATTGTCAGTCATCGTTGACGACCCCCTTTGTCCTCTCAGCCTCGTCGATTTGCCAGCCATTCAGTACGGAGCCACTCAAACACACGTGCAATAAAGTGGCGTCCGTCTCGTTCAAGTCGGCTTGACGATGGCAATACTAATGATCCTTCTCTTAAGCCGATGGAACGAACTGAGGGCATGCTGTTGGTCCTGTATGACGGAGGGCACAGCGCGAGCTCAAAACCAGCCCCGAAAATGTTTGCTCTCGTACGCCAGCAGAAGCAGCCTGGTTACGCCAACCTCCTTCAATCATCTTTGTGTCCTTAGGATCGAAGCAAATATCACGTGTACTGCAATAGCCGTCGAAGATACGAGTACGTCGTATCCGAAATCCTTGAGCAGCTTTGTTCCTTTCCCTTAGCGCAAGAAATTGCGACCTAAAGTTTAGGTGGTACGGCTCCCCCAATGGAAGATCGTTAGGCGTACTGCAATTAGGCTCCGGGAACATAAATTCAGCCTCCTATTCTGTCATGGATCAATGGCCATTTGTCGATCCCGGCTCGGCGGGTGATAGAATGTATATAATGAAGTAAGGACCTAGTATCTCGTTTTCGAGGTGAAAATTTCTATAGAAACTGGTCCCTCCTCCCTGAAGTGGATCTACTTGTTGGGAGACTCTTAGTCTTCTAAGCAAGCACACCCTCTTCCCGTTCAAAGGTTTGCGAATGGACTCAAAACTTCATGGCCCGGAATCTGAAGGGCAGTACGAATCGGACGGCTCTGAAGGCCACGGCGTCCCTCCACCGGCCTATCGCAGGAACTCGGAGTCGTCCACCGAGCGCTCACTATATGACGCGAAGGATGAGGCTCTGTTCGCAGGGAGCCAAGCGAGTCCCAACTCCGCCCGGGAATATGGATGGTACCATCCCAAACTCCTGAGCCGTGGGCTCGTCATCACGGACGCCGCTGCCTCGACAGCCACGGGCAAAGCACCGCTGTACTACGTCGAGGTGTCTGAGTTCGCTCTCAAAAAGCCAGACGTGGTCCTGCACGCCCTGCCCCCGACTACGGGCATGACGAACGACCTGGAATATCTTGCCAACACTGGTGAATCGGGGCCGGTGGTCGGAGTTGCGCATTTCCCAAAGTTTTCCCGCCACATCAAGGTCGGACTGGGCGATCCTTCGTCCACCGACGCCACGATGACTTATGTCGAAGTGCGCAATCCAAACCTGATGACCCACGGCGAGTACCACATGTCTCTCAACGGCAAGTCGTACGCGTGGAAGCGCACCCACGACGCCGCGGCGGGCGTTGAAGGCGGCAGCGCGACACGCATTCTACACCGCGAGAGCTTCCAGCTCATCGACATGGGCGCCAACGAGGTCATCGCGGTGTTCTTGGACAACAAATTCAAAAGCTGGAAGAAGAAGGGCAAATTGAGGATCTTTCGAGACCTCGAAGACGGCAGTGGAGGAGAGCTAGGGACGCAACGGCAGCTCAAACTCCTGGTCTTCTTGAGTATCGCGGCGATTTTGGAGAAGGCTCGAAGGCGGGCGAATAGGAGACGCAGTAACTCTGGAGGGGGCGGCGGTCCGTGAACACAGGTCATGGCGAATGGGTATTAGTAGTCCGGGACGAGAGCTCAAGGATGGGTCATCGTCGACATCGACACATCCTTCGGGAGACATGAAGCAGCGCTCAAAGCGACACACTTCTCCTTTGAAAGCCATCGTGGTTTGAAGATGCGAGAATCTCGTATGCTGAATCCCTGCTTCAACTTTTATCGTCCTATCTACCTAGGTATGTTAGTAAGAGGAGAAAAACTGCTCTTCCCGAGTCAATCATGCCTGCCTCCTGAACTCGCCTATAAACGACCTGGTGATTCGAAAATGTTCAATCCCTGCTCGACCGTGAAGACCTCGTTCATCATTTCATATATCCGCTTCGACCTCTGGCGAATATCCTGCATCGACAGCGTGCCGTCCTCGCAGACGTAATGGTCAATGTGTTGGGCAGGTACCCATTCAAAGTAGACGTTGCGGACCGTGACCATCTCATCCCACAAGGCGGTGGGCTGTAGCTTGCCCCAGCCGCTAGTGAGCTCGGTTTTATCGTTGTCCTCTTCCGGATGATCGGCCGCTGCTCCTGGAACCGCAATCTTTTCACTTTCGCTGATGCACACAACGACAGCCGTGCCGTTCGTGACTGCCTTGCTGATCAAGGCAGCCGCCAGGGAGCCGGTCTTGTTGCTCACATCTCCCGCTTCTGAAATCCGATCGGCACCAATAATGACGAGGTCGACGTCCTGACTCAGCACACCAACCGAAGCATCGCTTGCTAGAACAATCCGCAGGCGATCGTCAATGGAAGGACCCGTGGCCCCAGGCTCGCGGCGCCGCTGGGCTTCCTCAGTCAATGCGTTGGCAAAGCTCACGCCTTCGTTAAGAGGCCGCGACTCGAGGATGCGCAGTTCCATCGACAATGAGCCATCGGCGTCGAGGGCGTGCAGGATTGCGGTTTTGATAGTTGAGGATGAACTCAGGGTCAAAATCTTGATGCGTTCCTTCTCACCTGTTCGGCCTTGAGCGGCCGGCCCGAACTTGTCCCGCAAAAATCTCGAGAATTGGTGACTCACTTGTTTGGATATCTCTCCCCGTTTGCCAACAGACGCCTCAAGGCTCTGTCTGACGTTCTCGAGGTAATTCGGTGCCGAGGGGTCAATCTGATTCTTTGCTTCTTTCAAGGCCGAGGCAACAGCATTAGAGATGGCAGCCGCCATGCTTGGGCGGCCATTGAAGGCGAGATGAAATGCCTGTCGTTGAAAGCCCTTCCACCATTCGGTGACATCTCTGGGCTGCTGCGTTTGCTGGTCATGTTCAACGATCTTGATCAGCGACTTCACTGCCATTGTGGCCAGTTCTCTAGCCCCGTGTGAATGGTCTAGTCGGAGTTCTTCGAGTGCTTGGTACAATATGCAGTCCGGGTCAACCCAGACCTGCCCGAGTGTCACTTCCAGTCTCGGCACACAGTCATCCAATATCTTGCCACTCAGAACATCGTCGACATTCTGCCATTGGCAGCCCAGATGCTCAAAGTTCATCTTGAGCCCCAACTTGTCGACGTCATTGCTGTAGTCGGCAGTCTCCTTCGTCAAGCGAAACGCAAAGGGCCAGACCTTCCAGACTCGTCCCTTGACTTGGTGGTCACCTTCACCCACAACCACAACCTTCTGGTCCGTAAATTCGAATCCGGCACCTCGTCTCCATAATTCAATTTGCTGTGGTCCGAAAGAAGTCTCCTCCTTCAGTTCTCGCCAGGCGGCATGGAGAGGCGACTTGTCGTGCGTCTCGACCGAGCCTGCAATGGGCGCAAGCTTCCTCCGATATGTGCTGACCTTGTCAGAGCGGCGGAATAGAAGAACTCTATATGGCTTGGACGCGTATGGCTGATGAGGAAATAGGAGGACCGACACAACCGTGCGCCGCTCTAGCTTTTGCCCGGCCGCAGCGAGTGATTGAGCCATCTCAGGTGGTTGATGAAGTCAGAGTGGCTCTTATTTCATGGCCGGTGATCGTTTGATCGGGAAAGGCGAATCTGCGCAAGCGAGGCGATGTGCCTGGGTTTGTATGATTATGGCTATCCAAGGTAGTCAGTGATTCGTATCACACCATCGGCGAAATCTCTCACCGTGACGTACTGGAACCAACCAGCTGTGAGTTTTCCGAAATCATCCGAGTGGAAGACGCATCTCGCTAACGCACAGCAACCTGTAACCAGCGGGGCAAGCAGTTTTGACCTGTACTGTAGGCAGCTGACAATGCCCTCCGCTCTCTTCGTTTTGCCATGTTGGCTCCTCTAATTCCCACCGCAGACGCATAATGTTCGTTATCCCCAAGTAGGCAGATTGTCTGGGTACTTCTAACTATATTTATTACGCAAAAGCATCCAACTCAGGAAGTAACTCAAGCATCAAAGCTGCAATGCCTACAGCCTCAGACTCGCATGCTTAGACTCGTCGAGGCCGGCGGAAAAAAGGGGGGGTTCCTTCGTCGCCAGGTAAGCTTGAAGACCAGCGTAGAGAATTGCGGAAATGCAACATCGTGCCCTACCCCGCCCTGAGTTGCCAGGATTCCCCAGAGTGACGAAGCTCTCAACACCGAGTGATCGACCTGACAGTGGAATCACCAGCTCAAATATCTGGGCCAAGGTGACTAGCCAGTCAAAGTGGCCAGTCAAAGTAGCCCCCTAGGCCCTCTTCGCAGGGAGAATAATGCGGCAAGGCTGTGTCGCTCCGAGTTGAATTTGGCAATTTGAAAAGGATCCTTTCGCTCGCATTCTCGTCTCTCTTACTTGGATGTAGCAACTTCTAAAGGTCTCCCTCGGCCCCGTAATAAACGGTCCGAGACGCAGGCGGTTCTGGCATCGTCGCCCTGGCATCCTTAAGAAGTGCGATGATGTCCTGTCGCCGTTTACCGGTGGCGATTTCCAAAGCATTTCCTCCCCAAGCATCTTTCATATCCACATCAATAGCCGGATGCGCAAGAAGCATCTTGATAATTTCAACATGTCCGTAATATGCTGCCCAACATAGTGGAGTAGAAGTCCAGCCCTTGACATCCTGCAGGTTGACATTGATATCCTTCCGCTCCAGTAGCTTTTTCAGAAATTGCTTGTCGTTTTTCCTGATGGCCCATGCTAGAAGCGACTTCCCTCTGTACAGGAGATTAACATCGAGGTCATTTCGGGAGAGCAATAGACTCTGTATTTCGTCAAAGCCGCATACTAATGCATAGCCTAGCAGGGTCCTACCCTTGCTAGTCCGGTTCACATCAATGGCCTTGTGGGTAAGCAAGAGTTTGACGATTTGAACGTGGCCTCGGCTGGCAGCATATAATATTGGCGGATGTTTGCCCGCTCCTTTGAAATTAACGTCCACATCATCACGCTCAATCAGCATCTTCACAACTCCTTCTTCAGCGGACGCTGCTGCCCAAGAAAGTGGAGAGCGGTGATGTTCCCAATGGTCAGCAGGAACCTTCACAACATTTTTACTCAGTCGATCAAGGCATTCCCGGACAACACTTGTAAGACCACTTCGCGCTGCAATTTCGAGGAGGTCCATCCCAACCTCGACCTTGACCGGGATTGGATTCTGAAGCCGAAAGTGTATCTGAGAACGCGTCCACGCATCGACAAGCTCCGATACTAGCCAGCCAAACAGTGCCAAAAGGTCATCTTGGTGGATATTGTGGGCCTCCACATCTTTAGCGTGTCTGAGCCAATAATTGGAGGCATATCCTAGAAGGCCCGTGTCCTGGATGAAATCGGCAAGATCATCATATTTCAATGACCTATCTAGTTGGGCCCGCTCCATGTTCATATAACGGACACAGATCCGCGACAGTTTGAAATGTGACTTGCCGATAAATTCCTCAAAGGACTGCAGTGAATCGTCAAGAATGCGGTACCCTTCTTCGCTCACGAAATCTAGGGCTGACTGATGAATGAATTGTATCATTCTGTATACTCCATAACCTTCGAGCAATCCGCGGGAGAGTTCTCGTATTCTCCGCTCTAATTCGTCGTCGGTCTCGCAATCCACAGATTCGAGACATTCCGCAAGGGACGTGGATTCTGGGTCAGACTCAACAGCTATAGCGTGGCGAAGTTGCCCCAGTGACAACGGTTGTTTGGCAAATAAGACCCATCGAATGATTTGCAATGATTTCTGCCTTTTTTCTTTCCCGATGTCTTCGAACAAGCTCCGGTATAAGTCATGTGGATGTACTGGCTTCGTCGAGATTGCATCGAGAATCCTGCTGAGGCGAACTCCACTAAGATAGAGATCGTGAACAGTTCCGACCATGAGCACAGCCCATTGGAAGATCCCAGAATCCCGAGAAACAATGGTTTCCCTAAGTTCTTCAATCGCCTTTGGGTCGTTAATGTAACGTTGGAGTTCGTGATGGACATAGAGCCTGATGTCTCCACGATTTTCGATTTCCATAAATATCTCAAGACTTCCGGATGTACTCAAGAGCGGGTAGTGCCGACACGAGAACAGCAGCTGAAGAGAAGCATCATCAGGAAGCCGGGACACTATGTCTTGGAAGAGGATCACAAGCCTTCTGCCGCTGGCTGTACCACATTCATCAAGTGCATCAACGAAAAGGCGCAATCAATTTATCTTGGCTGCTTGTGAAAGATAGGATACGAAGATATTCTTCAGTTCGTTTTCAAGCCAGCCCCAATCCTCCCCATATTTTCCGATGTTGTCTTCTTTTTCCTCGAACAGTTTTGTGAATTTTTGGAGCATTTCTGGTAGTTGATCTAAAATTTGATAGAGGATTGACCGATAGAGACCGAGCGGTGATCTTTGGAGGGCTGAACCTCGACCATGGAAGAAGAATGACAGAAGAACAGTCCTTGCTGTCAGATTCCCATGTTCGTAAGACTTCAGCACATGTTTGACCATGGTACTCTTTCCCGAGCCCGGATTACCTTTGATCCACAGTAGACCTTGGTGCTGGCTCAGCCAAGTCTTGTATGTCTGGTGCCGGAAAATCCAATCGCAGGTCTCAGCGGCCGCGTCGTTTATATCATCGCCTCTCGAATTCATCTCGGGAAACGCTATCGAGCGTAGAGCAGCTGCAAACGCTTAGATCAGCTAATGATGTCTCTAGCGGAACTTGGAGTACCTGTACCTTTCTCTTTTGGCGTCCTCTGTCTCGCAGTCTCTGATAGAATACGTAACCCGTTACTTTTGATTCAAATAACTTTCGGGATAGGATCCAACCTATTGAAGGTGTGCGGATATGAGTTAGCCATCTCCTAACCTCACCAAGGACCCGCATGTATCCTGAATCACAGGAGCTCGCAAATCTCGCCATGTCCTGAGAAAATGAGTTCAGACACTGCCAAAACTAAACTGAAGTGCGCCGTTTACCCGATGGTTTGCATGAATTGGCATTTGTATATATCCGCTTATTTTTGCCGACTCTTTGGGGACAACCTGAGAGCATCCAGTGAGTGGGCAGCTCAGCCTTGACCAAATGACAGCACCTACCTTGCCTATGCCGGGAAGCTCTAGCTCCTCGTAGAAGCAAGTGAGATCAAAAGACTGTTTGTTGCGCAGCCAGATTCCAAAGGAATCTTCAACATCTACCAGCACCTGATTCCCAGGCTTCAAGAGTCCGAGGATTTCTGTATTGACTCGTTTGCCTGCTGCCTTTAGAATATTCGCAATCACCAGACCAAACGAGGCAAGATCAGATCCACGATGCGGCGTTCCCAGAAAAGCAATTGCCTTGGTACAATGGGCGACTTGATGGAGATGGGCTTCGAAGCTGGATTCAGATAGACACAGTGCCTTCTTCACGACGAGACCACCTAGACTGTGCACGATGAATATTATGGGGCGGGACTTCTGACGCCAATCGTTAGCTCTGAAAGGAACGATGAGCCACGTACTAATACCGTGTTAGTATTATCTCTCAGGGCGGCCAGATCACTGAGCAACGCTTCAGAATGACTGCGAAGATTGTACTGCGAAATGGCGCCGAGCAGCTTGGTGACGTCTGCATCATATTCGAAAGCAAGAATCCGGATATTTGGTACATCCTTTGCCAAAAGATCAAAGGGCCAGTACACCCTAGACTGTTCGTCCAACCACGTTTTTTCCGACCCACCTGTTAAACCATGAAGCAAGACAACATCCGCCGAAACTTCCGGCTCATTAAAGGGTCTGTAAATAAGCCTCAAGCCTTCTGTTTGGGTTTCTTGAAACGGGCGTAGGGGATCACCAGGGATCTGGGACGTTGGAAGCGCAGCATTCGTGGTGATCGACACGTGGGAAGGCGCCGCCGGGTCGCTCACTGGCAGTGAAGGGAGACTGGGGGTGGAGAGTTCACCTGTTGGCGAGAGATTGATAGCAGTGCCCTGGGTCACTAGTCCAACAGTGTTCAGAGCATTTTCGACAGAGCCAGGCAGATCCAGCTGTCTGGGACTACCTTGATCAGACACACTCTTCAGGGTGGTGAGGGGAGATCTTGGACGTGACCTAGGAGAGAGGATCAGTGCTTACGCCCTCGTGGATTCTTGAATCGCCTTGGGTCTGTCTCCTTTTAAACCTTTCTGAAAGCGACGGAGCATTGCGCGGCGTTCGGGTACTGGGGTGATGGTGAAGTCTTACGGGCGGGTTCACTAAGTACTTGGTACCCGCAGAGGACGGGCAAGGATCGTTCCGACGGCTAATAATAAAAGGAGGGTGGCACAGATGAGTTTGGAAGCATCAGGTCACGTGCATCGAGCCTTGGCAGCCACTCGGAGCATAAGGACCTCGAGAGTATTCACCTCGTACTTGCTCGTACTGAGTATTGGGTACAGCTCGCTAGGTCACCACTCTAGCCTTCTCTAACCCGATCAGAGCAACAAATGCTGAAGATGGACAGAATCAAGCAAGGTCCATTGATTTACAAGCCCCTTTGCAATTAAGAAGCCCATCGTGTTGATCTTCCTTAATGCGCATTGATGATACAAGATAAAAGCTAGGTAATACATCCGCCCGGGTCTCAAGATGCCACTTGGAATGGCTCCTGACAAAGTCCCTCGTACTTGGCTGCTACCGCTTCAGTATCCTTCCAAGCAGAGGCGACCTTCTCGTTCCTTTTCTTGCACTCTTCCGGCCCAGCCGTTACGACTCTCATCTGGCCTTGAGTTCGTGCCCCCCTGACCAAGGCCGAAGTCCGGGGCTGCCTCTTTTTCGCGTATGCCTCGAAAATTGCTGGCAGACTCTCCTTCAGCTCGGCGAAGATTCGTTGGTGGCCATCTTCCAAACCCAAATCCGGCAATGATTGGCTGAGGTGATAGCAGTCTTCCCTGTTAGGACATAAGCTGTGGTTCAAATGAGGCATTCAAGAAACCCCCGCACAATGCCTGATTAGCACCTTGGCCAAGATGCGGACTTGTCGGATGTGCAGCGTCTCCGACAAGCACACAGCGACTTGTATGCCATTGATCGGGTCTCATCTCGTCTCGGTCAAACAGCCCAAACTTGATCATTCGAGGAGCCGATTGGATCAGTTGTGCAGGAGCCGTGTCGTTCCAGAGCTCGAGGTGAGCAAGTAATTTCCGTTTCCTCTCGTCCATCTCTTCTGCTGTGATCAAGCCCCAGGAAGCCTCGGAGCGAGTCTCTTCGGGCAGTGTCAATGCCCAAGATGTGACTTTGGGCGAGACTGCGTACGTGATCATGTGGACACCCTCGCCATAGAAGTTCCGCATGTAAGGTTTGCCTTTCATCGCCTGTGGCGTTGATGAAAGCCCGGCGGTCTCTACATGGTCAGCTACTTGGTCACTCCGGGCTCGAGTTGCTCACCTGAGTAAGTCCGCTGAACAGGGGCAAACCTTCGCTTGGCCCCTTGTTCTTCAGTAGAATCCCTCTGGAAGCCGCTTTGATGCCATCGCACCCGATGAGGAAAGCACCCGTTACGCTTCGGCCCCCCTTGAAATGAGCTGTGACGGCGTCTTCCTTCTCCTCAATGTCTTCCAACTCCCAACCTTCCCGCAGGTCGATGCCCATGTTGATCACCATGTCCTTGAGTTTCAGGTTCAGGCCTGTCCGTTTGACGCCCATTGCGTGCTGGCCATATTTCTCCTTGAAAAACTTGGGCTCTTCTGAGACGCCGAGTACTTCCCCGTCCGAGGAACAATCGAGAAATCCCTCTAGAGGCACAGATTCTTTCTCGATCTCTGCTGTAACTCCGACCAAGTTCAACACTTTCAACCTATATCCGCAGTCAATACTCTGCATGAAGCACACAAGGCTTTTCGTCCCCTCGCCTCTTTTGAAATACTGACCCATTCGGCATCAACATCAGAGACGCCCCGACGTCGCCCAACTGCTCCACTTTCTCAAATACAATCGGGGTGTATCCTTTTCTTTTCAGAAGAACCGCAAGGACTGGGCCGGCAACGCCACAGCCGATGATGAGAACAGGAAAAGGCGCCATGGATTTTCGTCTTCTGGTTCAACTCTCTATGATCTTTGCTCGGTTTGTGCCGTTGGTTTGCTTGCTTGTGTCTCTCGTCCACCTCACAGTGGCCATCCCTCTGTTATATCTTCCATCATGGAATGTTGCATCCATTGAGACATTGTACACTTTGGACCTTGCTAATCTCTCTCTTTCGCGTGGCATCTCTTGGCATCAAGACACCAAATATGTCATGGACCGCTAAAATTCAGCCCAAAGCTGTGCCTGCTCAAGCTACAAGGATTATCCGGGTCTTTTTGAACCTTTGCGTCTTAGGTCTTTCGGAGCGAGAGGTTAGAGCAAAATCCCAAGCGAACCACTCAGACAGGTCGCGATCGCGCCTCGCGTTTTGCTTGAGGCCGAGGCTCCGAGGCCTGCTAGCCATAACCACAAGAGTTTCCTGGCTCGGTCCGCTATCATCAACGTTTTCCCTGCAATATTGCAACAGTCAGGGGAAAATACATGGAACCAGTGACTCGTTGGAGGCCACTTAAGGAAGTGAACGCAAGAAACGACTGTTACTCTGCGCACTCTCGGGCCTGGCGTATGCGCCGAAGCCCTGGGCGCCCCGTTCTCGCGAGCCAAAGTTCCCCGCGTCGGCATCTCTCGCTCTCATCAACTCGACCATGTCCGCGTCCCACAACTACGGAGTCACCTTGCCCAACGGCTGCAACATCGTGCACGGGCAAGGCGCAAACATCAAACACCCTTTTAGCGATATTCCAGTGGAGATGCACGAGCTAGATCCAGGCGGCAGAAAGGCCTTCTCGGGACAGTTTGGATTCATTGAGTTCTCGACCGACTTTAGGCTGCCGCGACACGTGCACATTGCACCCGCCTCCTCTTCTGCGATGTCGGGAGACGGCAGTGCTACAACGCAAAGATTCATTGCCGAGCGCATCGTCGTCTTGAATGGCGTCGCCCTCGTCGAGCTCAATGGAGAGATATACGTCATCCCGCCGCAGAGCCTGGTGACGATCGCTCCTGGCGTGCCACATACCTGGACGGCGTGTCCGGCTGGGGTGTCGGTTCCTGTCCCGCAGGACAGCGCTGAAGTGCAGTCGAATGGGACATTCCTCATGCTCTACGAGTACGAAGAACCCACTGCGTTCTTCCCTACTAGGCAGGCCAAGACACTCATACACGTGGACGAGTATGAGCGATGCGATGATCTCGAGTCGATCAGGATTCCACACTTAAGCGCCGATGAGGTGAGACAGAAGTGCTGGTTCGTTTGGGATAGTAAAGTGAGCAGGCTAGGTTGAGGAAGGCTCTGTCTGTTGGGGGCAACTCAGTTCCAAATATTGAGATATGATAAATACGCATTGCTTGCGTTGGTGCGGCAGTGCCACAAGATACATGTAAACGACCTTCGCTATGAGATTGGACGATGTCTTCGCTTATTAGAGGATACGTTTCTTCGCTTGGAAACAGCAGACCCCTGGCCCCCCATCGTATCGCACGCTATAATTGGATGAGCGGCCGCTGAGTCAAACTCTCCCCACGAGGCGGGTTTATTGCAGTAGCCTGGAGGCGGTGTTCGCGGACTTTGTCGGTGGTCGAGTTGAAGTCTGGTATTGCGGTGCAAAGACGTAGAGATCAGCATTTAGCCACTGGCAAGCGGTGCAGGGCTGGTAGAGTGGTCCCCCCGCGGGGGGGAGTTGTTTAGTCACATGTCAAACCAAAAATGGGCTGGCAAGGGGAGTGCGGAACAGTTTACAGTGTTGGCAGAGTGCCATTCTTTACGTTTTATAATCAGGGAGAGTATCAGTATTCCATGCTTTTTGATGCCGTCTATCTATTACCTGAGTGTTTCGTCGGCCCGTTCCTACTTCTCAATGTCGTCGCCGTGCTAGGCGCTCGCTGCCCTAGCAGCTGCCTCGCTGGGGGTGGTGGTGGTGGTGTTGCGCTATCAATGTCAACCAGAAACGCGTCCTCGATTCCCGATCTGCTGGACAGTCCTCTGTGCGTTGTTGCACGTGCACGCCGAACCCTGGAGTGCTCTGTTACAATATAAGCACAATTGTTGAGAAGAATTCAACTTTGGACTTGATCCCACTGTCATGTACGCTCCGTATCTGAAAAAAACGCCTCACGCAGCCTCACTCGATCTGCCCGATGAGACGTCAGAGATGAATCCGGTGTCTGAGGGGCCGGCGCTCAAAGGGTTCGTCATCTGTGCATCTTCCCCAAGGGGCTGTTGCCGTTGGCGCTCCTCTGTCGAGCTTGATGCTCCTGCATTGGATATCAAGTGGCCGTGTGCAAGACTATATGAGCTTGCAGGAAGCGGCTGGCTGACATCGGGCAGGTCAGGCGGTCTGGAAACGTCTGCCCCATTCTCAGCTCTTTCTTGCAGCCCAGTCAGACATAGTCTTCGAAAGGGAAAAGGATGAAACCCACCGAGTGAAAATCTGAAATTATCATTGACAGGGTCAGCCAGGTGGCACTGTTCATTTTTCCGATCGGATCCTTCTAAGGCAGTGAGTCGCCCCTCGAGGTTTGCCAGATCGCTGGGCGGATCTTAGTAGAGGCCTGCTGCAGGACCTATGATACATGCGTCTTGGAAACCGATATGGTGGGCTTTGCGGCGTTAAAGACGCACACCTTCCACCACCTTTGGAGCAATTGGAGCACGGCGCTGAGCCGCTGCGCTTGATCTTTTGCCTACGACATCTCTGGCAACTAGAGACAATCTGCGTTCAGTTACCAGTGATTAATACGAGCGATGGAGGACTGTAACATCCGCATTGGGCGTTCGCTTCTTCACACCATGTGATTCCCGAGAGCTATTCATTCGGTGGTGCGCAAAGCATTCCCTCCTTTCGAAGATTCAGCAAGAAGCTTGTTGCGCTCGACTGACGATACGTCAGCTACGATAAGGACAACGGCAGCGGACATACCTGTCAAGGCGCGCCCGATTGCAGAGAATTGATATGCGAATGGGTAAGATTTGCACCTCGTAGACGACGGAGGATACATGCTAGGAAAGGGAATGGCTAGCGAGCAGGCGAGCAGGCTCGCCAGGTCGCCTGTATCTGGGCAAGATCTAGGGCAACCTGAAGGGAATGTTTCCGAACTCACGGTCACTGGTTTTTGAACTTCAATAGAAGCTTGCACTGCGGAGGAATAATACCAATGTGTCTGAATCCATCTCTTGACTGAGTTGAACCAAGACGTAATTCGTGCCAGCAGCGGCTGGGGGCAGGGTGATATTCCCAGGGTTGGCCGGGTCAAGTACATTTCCTCGAATATTGATCGGGGCCATCGTCTTTTGTCAATGCTTGACTCGTGGTTATCTTCGTGGTGCAGCTTTAATTCAGGGAAGGGGGACGAGAAGGGGAGCAGAAGGAATAGAACTGCAAGAACTACGCGCAATATTTATAGACTGTTGTACTAGAGAAGATGGTTGCGCCCTATTCGCGCAGATGCTCGTCGTGACGCTGAGCATCTCGCTGCAGCTAGACATGGGCGAGCAGCGATGTTCCATGTTCAGCTCGTCATGAAACAAGCCCAAGCCCTTCATGCACAGGAAGGGAACTAGCCCAGCTATTTCCCAGCTCGCTTTGCTGAGTCTGGAACAGTCTCGGCTTGTTCTTGCTGAAGGTGGCTTGCAGAACGCAGCAGTGGCTGAAGGATTCGTGAGGTTTATTTTCAGCTCGAAAACGCGTGGATTTGAAGAGGGACCAATAGCGAGTTGGACAGTTGGTGGAATGGCATGACATGGCGTTCAGACGGAGTTCTGCTGAACCAAATGGAGTTATGATAAGGTTGGTTCATTGCGAAGACCCAAGACTTCGTTCTGGAGTGACGAGGCATTTCTATACACGGTAACAGTTTGGCCTGGTGCCAAGGCACGATGATTCAGGCCTAATCAGGCTAGTTAATATCAAAGTGCCTCCGTTAGCCAGCCTGACACGCTTCGGCCCGACAAGCTCATCCATCGTCTTCCCTGGGTAGATTGCGTTGGCACGGAACAGGAAGCTGTAGTACCGAGAACCTTCAGACTCTCCTTCTAGTGACAACCTTCGTCTAAATAGACAGATCCGCACAGCTGAACGCCGGCGTGGTGCTCCCCGAATAGTCCGCGATGATGGCCTTGACAGCAGCATACAATCCTGGCCCAAGCAGGAACAGCCCGACAATCATGACGAAGACATGAATCACCGTCATACTGGACCTATATACACCGTGGAATAGTCTTCCCTTGTAGAGGTGGTAGTACGCCACTGCAAAGAAGATGAAGCCGAAGAATGAATCGAACGCTGCTCCAAGGAGAGACAGGAAATCCCCCATGCTGGGGATGACTTCAGCGAAGATGAATGCGATGATCCAGATAGCGGCCATGACCAGGACCCAAACACCCCATCCGATGACAGTGTTGCTGTGAGCGTGGTGAGACTTACCCATGATCCGGAAGTAGATGTACTTGGATGTGACGTTGGCATAAATCACGCCGATAACCAAAGTTGGGACTATGACAAATGCGAAAGAACCTTTCTTGTAGGCCGTGGCACCCAAACTCCCGAAAGCTGGAGCAGTCGAATATTGGCCCAAGTAGTGGAACCCAATTGCCGGAGGACAGATGAACAGGAAGGCAGAAATGACGGTGAGAACGGCAAGTGATTTAGGAAAGTCTTCTGGCTTTTCCATCTCGGCGATGAAAGTCGGGAAAAGGATTTGCGGCACCTACATGAATGTTAGTTGGGACTGAAAGCATAGATGATATCTAAAAGTTCCTACCCAGAGGAATGTTATATTAAGAACCGCGTTTAGACTGTCTTATCGTCAGTATCCAGGTGTTAGGACTTTGAAAGAGACATGAAGACTTTAACAATGTCTATGTAAGAGTAGAACTCCTTTCAATAAGACTTACCAATTAACCCAGGTAGTGCCAGGAAGAGGGAAAGGGTAGGTTCGGACCTCTCCTGCGGCAGGGTAATCGCCATAATACGAATACCCGGGATGCTGCTCGATCCCAG